ATGCATAGACTTGTATAAGAAATATATACAAGTTTATATACGGCTGCATAGGATGCATAGATGCATAGACTGTATCAAAATAATATTGTGATTTATTTCCTCATGTTTTATGTATTTATAGTTTGTAAGATTTGAAAGTTTATGCACACTGCACAGTGCGCAGGTAGAAATGCACAGATAGTTAGGCCAGTAGGAGTTAAAAAGTTAGAATGGAAACATCAGGCATTTTATTTGGATTTAAAGAAAAGTTAATCAAAAGTAAACATTCAAAGAAATTTGATTTGACAAATTTGTTTATTTGTTTATCCAAAATGAATGTGAATTTAGGACTGAAGAGAATGGATAGGAAAGAATAAAAAGATAGAATTTGTCCAACTGATGTAAGTAAATTTCTATAAAATAATAAGAAGATAATAGTTTATTTCAAAATATATATTGAATATAGATTATCCTTAACAAATGTATGTATATATTATAATTTCGTAAATATTGTTTTTTTTTCAGTTGAACTTCATGATTAAGAAAATAAAGAAGAAATTAAAGAAGAATAAATATTTCTTATGAATAGTTCTAAATCATTCAAATTAAGAGAAGAAACCCTATTCCTTCAGATTCAAATCAGTTGAAAGTCGTGTAGTTATACCCCTACTCAAAAGGAAACCCTGGCAGTGTCGTGCAATAGACAGGCAAGTGATTCAAGGTGAATGTGTGTGCCTGTACTTCCGACACCTTCCTCTCTCTCTCTCTCTCTGTGAAGGTTTATACAACCAGTTAAAGCACGATGTGGAAAAACTGAAACTGAAACAAAATTTGAGAAAAATTCAGAAAGAAAATGAAGATTAAAAAAGTCAATGATTATATTAGCAAATACATAATTCTTGACACCTCTGGAGACTTTTTAGCTGTTAAGAATAACATCTGTCTCAGTGATTAGGAAGCAGATTACAAGAGTGCTGAAGAAGAGTTAGCATCATTAGCTTCTACAGCAGCTTCATTATCTGTAAAGGAACTTTTGGAGGTCAACACTGGACAAAACAACCTTAAAATCCTCCGTGCAAAGGTTAAACTGAGATTTTTACAAGCTTTAAAAGAAAAGGTGTTTAGAGAAAAGGAAAATAAAATTCTTACATTCATTCCTAGCTATGAATTGAAAAGAATTGAGCTGAAGTATCGAGTTTCTAAGGACCCGGAAGATTTGAAGAAAATACAGAAAGAAACAGAGAGAGTAGAAGAAGAAATAAACAATCTCATTGAGTCCTACCAAAGAGCCAGAGAAGAATTTCAGACTATATGTGACAACTTTTTGGTTCACAATGAGAAAACAGACATAAGAGTCATCAGTGGACTTTATTCAGGAATGGAATCTCGAAGAGTTAATATCTTCATAGACAACCCTGAGACTCAAAGAAGAATATCTCAAGTTCTGCAGGAGATATATGAAGACACAACTTCTCCACCTTCCTCTACCTGTACAACAGCAGCTCCTGTTGAGGAGAAGATTGAAGCTGCAGACAAAATAATCATCAAATTGCTTGAGAATAGCAACTCTAAATCTCCTGTGGAACTAACCAAGAGAACAATATCTAAGGCAGAAGAAATACTAGATGAACTTAAGAAGATTAAATCAAGCTGTTCTATTGAAGAAGATGATGTTATAGAGAGGAAATTGCAAGAATTGGATGAGAGTATTGAAGAAGCTATTCGGACATCTGCTGAAAATAAGGTCTCTTCTCCTCAGAATGCATTTGATAGGGCAATAGAGCGAATCCCTCTCCCTGTGTTTAATGGGGAACATCATCTCTACTTTGGTTGGAAGAGAGACCATATGTCTTTGAACAAGTATGGTGCACCTAACATCCAGGTTTTAGCATTGAAGAAATCCATCAAATCTGTTGAAACTAGGGAAATGGTGTCAAACTGTAACAGCCTGGAGGAAGCATTCAAAATATTAGATAGAAAATATGGCAATTCCAGATTAATAGTTCCAGGCATCTTTTCTAAACTTGATAAGCTAGAGAGCCACCCAAGAGACAGGAAACAGGAAGCTGATAACATTCAAACAATTTTAAACAGTATGAATGAACTAAAGAATCATGGAGCTTTAGCAGACTTTACTGATTTGTGTATCAAGAAATACCTGAACAAGATCAGATATACAACTCAGAAGATATGGCTCAGGAAAACTTACCAGGTGGAGTGGAGTCTTGAGAAACTACAGAATGAGTTTATCAAATTTTTAGAGCTGGAGCAAGAGCTCATATTTCAAGAAATACAAATAGAACCACTGGACTACCAGAGGAAAGCAGACAGATCAGGAAACTATGGAAACTCCTTTCAGAAGGTCAAGATAAACATCAACAGTACATCAGCCATAAATGTGGCCTGTGTGATTCAAATCAACATACTATCCTGCAGTGTCCGTTTCTTCAAGATGAAAATGCAGAGAAAACCTTGAGAGATAAGAAGATATGTGTAAGATGTCTCCGTGATCCCTGCAAGGGTTATAGCTGTGGCACATTTTACAGCAAGGCTCTAGACAGACAATTTTCATCAGATTGTAAGACTTGCAGAACCAGTGATACGGGCAAACCAATCAACTTTAAAGTTTGCAAGTGCAGAAAAAAACCCCAACAGTCCTCTACAGTTAACAATAACAGTATGAAAGCGACAACAAGTGGAAGGTTGGGCCAAGGAATGCCAATGACAGAAACCATTGAGGTAAGAAGGGGAAAGCAGTGGCAGAGTATCACCATTTTCTATGATACTGGTGCAAACCAGACAATGGGAAGATCAAGTATATTGGAAAGTTATGGAACAAAAGTGATGAAGGCTAATGTTGCAGTGAACCTTGCTGACAGTTCTACCAAGTACCTCAACAATGCTAATCTCTACAAGTTGGAAATAAATAAAGCAAGAGACAGCATTGAAGTTCTAGGAGCAGCTGAGATGCCCTCACAAAAATTGTTCACCTTTACACTGCCTCAAGATTGGCAAAGAAAATACAAGGTTAGAGCTGTAGGGAGTGATAAATCAACTGTGGATATTATCATGGGTACAGATAACATGCAGTGGTTTCCAAAGGAGCTGGAAAGAAAGGGAAATATAACACTCTTTCGAAGTGTCATAACCGGAAATCTGATAGTGGGGGGAAAAAATCCCAAAATCAAGGCAAGAGGAAAAGTTCAAACCAACAGATTGTGTGTTTCTGAGAAAGCTGAGGATTTGTTCTTGAAGAACTGTTCTTATGAAAATGTGGACTGTATTGCTAAACCTGCAGGATTAGTTAAAGAGAAACAAATGGAGTATGCAGATAGAGAGATCAGGGATAATATAACTTTTGATGAAACTTTAAAAGCTTACAAAGTTAAGCTAATCTACAATTCAGGAATCAAAAACCTTTCTTCAAACAAAGAAAAGGTTATGAAGGAACAGCTGAGGCTTCAAAAGAAACTGTCTCAGTCACCAGAACTACTGGAGGATGTCAACAAGTGTCTGAGGGAAAACTTTGATAAAGAGTACTGGAAGTGGGCCAAGTCTCCAGTTAAGCATTGCATCCCCTATTCTTTTGTTCATAATATGAACTCTTCTTCTACACCTATAAGGATTGTCATTAACTCCAGCTTCAGAACTCCAGAAGGCTATAGCCTGAATGACTGCTTTGATTCCGGGTCTAATGATATTGGAGATCTGAAAAAGATTCTGCTAAACTTTAGATGCAGAGAGCAATCAATAGTTGCGGACATATCCAAGTTTTTCTACTCATTCCATCTGGGAGAAGAAGATCAAGCCTATCACGGACTTCTTATTCCGGTAAACAAGACTACAGGAGTCATTGGCTATGGAAAGCTTGATGAGATAGAGTTTTGGGAAGCAGTTCAGTGTAGGTTGGCTTTTGGGGATACACCATCTCCTAATGTTGCAACAATTGGAAGGAAGAAGTGGGCAGTAGAAAACTCAGAGGACTCAAGAATCGTTAATACTCTTACAAACCATTCTTTTGTTGATGATATCTTTGGATACTGTGGATATGAGGAAGATGCTAATACTGTGATGAAACAACTGGAAGAGGTAGCTGCAAAGGGCAACTTTATGATCAAAGAGTTCTTTGTCTCTAACCAACACCCTCAGAATGAAGATAGTAAATTGGTAGGAAATGAAGAAGCAAAAGCTCTGGGATACAAATGGCTCCCATTTGAGGATATACTTATGCTTAGGAATAGCTTCTATCTAGGTAAAAAACAGAGGGGAAAGGCTACCATAGCCTTGACCATGGAGAATGTGGATGATCTCTTGGGAAACATATCCAAGAGGAGTGCATTATCTCTTTTAATGCAAAACTATGATATTCTAGGCTTGTTTAGTCCTTTAAACTTAAGACTAAAATTAGCATATCAGCAGAATTTGCTGAACCATCCTGGACAAGACTGGGAAAGTGAGATGCCAGAAGCTGATAAGAAACAGTTCATTGCAGGTCTAAAAGAAATCTTGAAATTAAGTGGGAAGGGGTTGCCTAGAACAGTTGTTCCAAAGAACTACAGTGGAACTCCTTGGATGGTTGGATTTTGTGATGGTTCTGGACAAGCAGTAGGAGCAGTAATTTATGTGAGATATCAGCTCCAGGATGGAACTTATGTGGCAAATCTACTCACTTCTAAAACTAAAATATCAGGGTTAAGAAATGTGTCTACCCCCAAAGCAGAGCTCCTGAGTTGTACCATGCTGATCAACATGATGGATTATTTGTTAAGAAATTTAGAAATCCATTTTGAGAGAAGGATTGTGCTCACTGACAGCACAGTAGTGTTGGGCCAGATAAAAAAGCCATCTTGCATGTATGATGGACAAACAGGAGGAAAAATTGATCAAATCCAGCAAATGGAAAGAGAACACAATTTGGAATTTTACCATTTCCAATGAGGTACCAGGCTCAAACTCTAACTCGGTGGTCATGAAATTCCTTAAAATCTTTCCATAATTTGTCAGGAGTTCATGCATGACTCCATCTATCCGTGCAATTAAAGCAGGATCACGTGTTGCTCTCTTCTTGGCATCTAGTTGATGATTGATGGTATCATAATCATGCTTCAGCTTCTTCTTGATCGCTTCTTTTGACTTGATCACCAGTTCATCCTTCTCCTGCTGTCTGATAGATCGAAGCCATACACATGGAACTTCTGCTTTCTCTAGTTCCCTCCTCACTACTGCTTGATTCTCCACACTAAACAACCCAAAGAATCGTTCTGCATCTTTGAGACTAGAGTCTTGAATCAATTCAACATCATTGAGAAGTCCAGTATGTGCAGTCAATTTCACCATCTTATCTATCCTATTACGAAGAGATAGTCCCAACTTACCCCCTACAGAATTGACCTCATATCTAGCAAATGACTTCTTGCCTTCCTCATCTAAACCCATATTGTAGTAACGTAAGCCAAAATAGATCATGGCTTTATTAGTAACTACCTGGTGTTTTAGAGGGAGCATTCTCACTAAGCCAGTGTATGGCCTATTAAGAAGTTCTTCTTTTAGAACTTTCAAGTTTGCGATCTCATTCTCCATGGCTTTAGTAAGCAATTTAGGCATCTGTTCTGCTCCTGGAATTCCCATGATTCCAAACCTAAGACTGGTAGAACGCATATTCTGAGTGATTAGCCGCAACTGGGTGAAGATAGCAGTGCTAACTGAATCCCACTTCCATGCAGCTTCCATCTCTGTAGCTGTTATCAGATCATCTGTATGGATCTCAGGATTATAATTATATTTTCGATCCAAAGCCACTATCCACCCATAGATGGCATCTATGTCTCCTCTATTCTTTTCTACTTCGAATCCACAAGTTGCTAAACAGGATTCAATAGTAGCAGGATTCGTGTTAGGGATACTCTCTTGGTTTGCAGCAGCAGTCAATCTCTTACCTATTTTGTTAGCGACCATATCCTGCTTAGTATAGCAATAGCCCAAGGAATAGATTCCAACTATTGCAAAAGCTTTTGTAGCTTCTACTTCAGCTGGTACTCCCATTCTCCAGACTTTCCCAGCCTCCTTAAATGTGTAGTCTTTGTATCTCTTTGAATACGCCAACTGTGGATGAGGGAATAGATAGAGTAACATAGAGCATATCTTGACATCTTGGGGTACAGTGAGCAGTGTGTCCTCGTATTCTTTAGAACTGGGAACCTCCCTGTCAGCTGACCATATATATTCTCAGTCATAACAGTTCTAAGTTAATTCTTGATTGATCATACCTGAACATTTATGCTGTAGAAAAGTTTACGGCAGTGATACTGCTGAGGATCGTGGCCTAAAGGAAGATTTCGGGGGACATCCTCAAATCTGACATGCATTCCATCAATGCCATAAGCAAAGTTAGGCAGACCAAATCTATCCTCCATTTCTTGGGATGCTTCTAGGCATTCCTAAACAGTACAAATGTTTTTTTGGTTATTATTTTTTGGGGAAGGGGGGGGGTTGAAATTATTAGTAATATTGGGTTAAATAAATACCCCTTTCATTTATTTCAATAAAAAATTACCTGGTATGATGGCATATAGATCCAGTCAGCTTTGTGTCGGAGAAGGGCATTTGTTACTCTGTCCACAGCTTTTCCATATGCAGACTGGCTGCATTTAAAGGATAAGGCTCCACTTCTTTGAAAAGGCTGGCTTCCAAAATGATGAAGGGCTATGCAGACTTGCTGAGTTGGAGTGAGGGGGTTTCCCCTTTCACTGTCATGTTCAATGTCTCCCCTGTAAAAGTAACTTTATTGATAAATATGTCAAAAGAAAGAAATTATCAATGTGAAATCTTCTGATCATGTTATAAGCACCTAAATATACAAAGAATTAAACCTTTCAGTTACTGTAGTTTAAAAAATATTGTTAAAAATTACCCAAATTTGAAAACGTAAAAGTAACTTAATTTTCTTTTTGAACTTTTTAAGAGCTGTGCATGCATTTATTCCGGGTACTTTAAGTTCACCTGATCATGTCCACTATCATGTCAATTCGAGGCGAGTTAAAATGAAATTGTCTCAAAATTTCTGCCGCTGGCATAGTTTCTCTAGGATCTGTTCTGTCAAAATGTCTCCTTCTTTTGACATTCATCAGTCTGTATCATTCATAATCGTAAACAACATTAACATCTACCATTTTCTGAAATATTTAAAAATATCATTGAATCATTGATTTAAACATACATCTACATTTCAATGTTTGATTCATTGAGACGAAGTCCTGAAAATTGTTGACAATTCAATTTTTTTGTTTTCAAAAAATAACAAATGACACATATTTTAATATCGTTTCACCACTGGCTTCTCAAAAATGATAGCTGAACCCTAAATAATAATATCAATAGACTGCTGAAGAAAAATTAACATTAATCTACCTAATAGATTAAAAAAGTTTTTTCAAAAAGTCCTGTAAATCACTTTTGTTTAAAAATCTTGGTGATATTGTAAAAATTTAGAATGCAACAGAAAAAAATTGTAGCCATAGAAATTTTTTTAATGATCCTTGTGCAAAAACAAATTTATTTAGGTTTAATTAATACCAAAAAAATTCTTTAAACTAAAAAGAAAGTCTCAGCAAATTCACAAATGTATCTGATGACATCACAAAACTACAGATATTTAAAAAAATCTGTAGCTCCACCTTTCTGGACATTATAGGAGTGTAAATTTAAATCTTTCCTTGGATGGGCCGACTATTACACCAAAAAACAGATACCAATTTGATCACTTCCAAGTGCGTAGCAGCTTTATTCATAAAACACCACAGCTGGAGACTCCAACGACAGCATATTTGAACCCAGTTTCCTAGAGTTTCAAAATACGTTTTAAGAACATGAAACCCGAACTCTGCCAAACCCGGGTTTCAGGAAACCGGGTATCGTAGCGAGTTTTATAATTTTCTTAAGTTTTGCACTCAGGAAAACATTTTATGAGTACAAGAAAGTGGAGAATGTTGAAATGGCTGTAACAGCAGATATTAACAGTATAGGTAGAGTAATCCTAGTTCAGGGTTGGGTAGTAATGGTTGATCTAAACATGCTAATGTCAAGAGACATGCTACTAATGGTCAAAGATATGATGTTTGGATGACACTTTGCATTATCAGCAGTGATTTTTGAATACCCATTAGGTTATTATGCCCTCTCAGAGCTGTACAAAAGTATCATCAATATAATGAAGAGAAATGGTATGAAAGGTTATAAACTTGTGAAGATGCTTGAACCTATGTGCATAGACAGAATCATAAAAAATTGGAGCAGAATAGAAACCTTTAGTCCCAGTAAACCCAGACTTTGATACTTATATCAATGGTAAGTTAAGAGAAATTTATGATGAATTTGAAATTGACTCCAGTATGATTGTGGAAATCCTGAAAGACTTAAATGACCCACAATACAGCAATGTATAGTTTACTACAAATGTAGACCAGACCTCCTAAGAGCCATATATGAGAATGGTATACTGAAGATTGTTAGTGACAACACAGAATTTCCTGATTGTTGGGAAGGAACAATGATCTTAGGCGTAGAAGGACAACAACAGACAGGATGGGGAATAGATAGTGCTATCAATATAGAAATCCAAAAATCCCAACGAAATGTGAATTCAACTTATGTGTTGCAAGGAGACAATCATATAATTATCAACAAGTATAAAATAAACCATGATGGTACAGAGGAAGACATAAAATGAAAAAACCAAAAGTGCTATGATAACAATCAGGATTGTTTATCTGCAGTATATCTTGGTATAGAGAAATCTGGTTTGACCATTAATAGAGATGAAACTACTGTTACATGTAATGTCTCCGTGTATGGTAAAGAAATTATAGTGCAAGAGCATGTAATGTCATATAGTGTGAAGAGGTATTCTTCAATATCAGGCTCTGTCAACGTCCTTTGCCAACCTTAGCTGATATGATGTCAAATGCAAATTCCAATTGTCTCACAGCAGCTCAAGGATCAAACTGTGTTGTAAGCTCTACACATATGTATACTTATATGGCATCTATAATAGGGTTCTTAACTATGAAACACAATCCTACCCTGTTTCAATGCTTTTGAGGATTAAACAGAAGATCAACAAGAGCTATGGTGGGCAATGCTAACTTTTTATGATTCAAGTGTTGGAGGAGTGGGAGGCTGTTCATTGACCAGATTCTTAATCTGAGGGTTTCCTGATCCTGTATCTGAAGCATTAACTTTTGCTATGATATTTGTGAAGAGTAATGACAAATTGATAAAGTTACTTGGATAAACAATTTTTGATGTACAAATTGATTACACAAAAGGAGATGAGAAATTTTGAAAACTTTTCAAATCACCCACTTGCCTGAATTTGCAAGGAGGAATGAATATTAAGTTGCAAATGCAGGATGCGATACGAAAAAGCATCACCAACATGGATCTATCTGAAACTTCAGAACTGATCAGACTTACATTTGCTAATCATGATGAGTATCATCAAGTATTTCTTGATTTCTGCCTAAGCATCAATCCTTGATTTGGACAATTATTAAGCCGGTTATAGGAAGCCTCACCTTTGGGCTTGTTGGACTCCATAATTGGTTCTTTCACTAACTCAGCCACTTTTAAACAAAAGTTTGAAAGGGATTTTCCTCCAGAAATAGCAGTAAACAAGTGGATAAGTGAGACTCAATCCATCAACTGCTTGTTTAGAACAAGTGATAGGGAACAGGAAAATCCATGTGCTACCAAGGCATCATCCGTTTATTGACTAAATTCTTGAGGTCCAACATTTAAACGCAGTACAACGGCTCACCCATGATGTATGTTTGGCAAGGGGTTGCCTCAAGGCGGAGACTTTGTGAATTGTGATGACACTGGTTATGTATCAATAATGTTTCCTGGTGGATTCAACCCTTTGTATACAAATATAGGAAAGT